TAATAATAATAATAATAATAATATTCTTATTATGAAAGTGGTGCCAAGCTGTCTTTATTCCCCAGTAGAGGCAGTGTGCAATAACAATAACATTAATAATAATAATAATAATAATAGCTGCATTGAGTCCCTTTTAGGAGAGGAAAGCAGGATACTGAAGATAATAATAGTCATAATAATAATATTCTTATTATGAAAGTGGTGCCAAGCTGTCTTTATTCCCCAGTAGAGGCAGTGTGCAATAACAATAACATTAATAATAATAATAATAATAATAATAATAGCTGCATTGAGTCCCTTTTAGGAGAGGAAAGCAGGATAATGAATATAATAATAGTAATAATAATAATAATAATATTCTTATTATGAAAGTGGTGCCAAGCTGTCTTTATTCCCCAGTAGAGGCAGTGTGCAATAACAATAACATTAATAATAATAATAATAATAATAATAGCTGCATTGAGTCCCTTTTAGGAGAGGAAAGCAGGATAATGAATATAATAATAGTAATAATAATATTCTTATTATGAAAGTGGTGCCAAGCTGTCTTTATTCCCCAGTAGAGGCAGTGTGCAATAACAATAACATTAATAATAATAATAATAATAATAATAATAATAATAGCTGCATTGAGTCCCTTTTAGGAGAGGAAAGCAGGATAATGAATATAATAATAGTAATAATAATATTCTTATTATGAAAGTGGTGCCAAGCTGTCTTTATTCCCCAGTAGAGGCAGTGTGCAATAACAATAACATTAATAACATTAATAATAATAATAATAATAATAATAATAATAATAATAATAATAATAGCTGCATTGAGTCCCTTTTAGGAGAGGAAAGCAGGATAATGAATATAATAATAGTAATAATAATATTCTTATTATGAAAGTGGTGCCAAGCTGTCTTTATTCCCCAGTAGAGGCAGTGTGCAATAACAATAACATTAATAATAATAATAATAATAATAATAATAATAGCTGCATTGAGTCCCCTTTAGGAGAGGAAAGCAGGATAATGAATGTAATAATAGTCATAATAATAATAATAATAATAATAATAAACATTCTTCTTATTATTAAAGTGGTGCCAAGCTGTATTTTTTCTCTGGATTAAATAGTGTTGTTCAGCAATGACAAAGTAACAACAACTATGTATTAACAACATTGGAAAGTAACAACAACAACAAATAATAAGATCGAACTGCAAAGACTCTGGCACAACAACAACAACAACAACAACAACAACAGCAGTGAGTGGAATTCTTCTTCTTCTGCAGGCCAAGCGGGCCAGAAGCGCGATAGTGTCCCGGTGGGGACGCCTGCCTACCCAGGACGAGGACCATCTGCCCGCAGAGGCAGTAGTAGACGTGGAGGGGCTTCTCCCCGTCGTCGTACTCCTCTCTGTCGCGCGTGTCCGAGCACACCACCGAGCGGGAGACCACCTTGGGCATGGCTGCGGAGAGGGAGCGGGGAGGAAGGCAGGGCGAGGGAACAGCCCGGCGCCTAGCAACCCCTGCCCGGGCCCGCTTCCGGTTGCTTGGCGCCGCCTCCGCAGGGAGGGAGGAAAGGCTCTTAAAGGAGACGCGCTCTTCTTTGCCTCATCACCATGATCATCTATCTATCTACCTATCTACCTACCTACCTACCTACCTACCTATCTATCTATCTACCTACCTACCAACCTATCTATCTACCTACCTACCTAACAACCTATCTACCTACCTACCTATCTACCAACCTATCTATCTATCTACCTATCTAACTACCTACCTACCTACCAACCTATCTACCTACCTACCTACCAACCTATCTATCTATCTACCTACCTATCTACCTACCTACCCACCTACCTATCTATCTATCTACCTACCTACCAACCTATCTATCTACCTACCTACCTATCTATCTACCTACCTACCTACCAACCTATCTATCTATCTACCTATCTACCTACCTACCTATCTATCTATCTATCTACCTACCTAGCTACCAACCTATCTATCTACCTACCTACCTATCTATCTACCTACCTACCTACCAACCTATCTATCTATCTACCTACCTATCTATCTACCTACCTACCTACCAACCTACCTACCTACCTACCTACCAACCTATCTACCTACCTATCTACCTACCTATCTACCTACCTATCTATCTATCTACCTACCTACCTACCTACCTACCTACCTACCAACCTATCTATCTACCTACCTACCTACCTATCTACCTACCTACCAACCTATCTATCTATCTACCTACCTACCTACCAACCTATCTACCTACCTATCTACCTACCTACCTATCTACCTATCTATCTATCTACCTACCTATGTATCTATCTACCTACCTATCTACCTACCTACCTATCTATCTACCTACCTACCTACCTACTGATCTACCAACCTATCTATCTACCTACCTACCTACCTATCTATCTACCTACCTGCCTATCTACCTACCTATCTACCTACCTATCTACCTACCTACCTACCTATCTATCCATCTATCTATCTACCTACCTATGTATCTACCTACCTACCTATCTATCTATCTATCTACCTACCTACCTATCTACCAACCTATCTATCTACCTACCTATCTACCTACCTACCTATCTACCTACCTATCTACCTACCTACCTATCTACCTATCTATCATCTATCTACCTACCTACCTACCTATCTACCTACCTACCTACCAACCTACTTCCTACCTACCTATCTACCTACCTACCTATCTATCTACCTATCTATCTACCTATCTATCTACCTATCTATCTACCTACCTACCTATCTACCAACCTATCTATCTACCTACCTATCTATCTACCTATCTATCTACCTACCTACCTATCTACCTACCTATCTACCTACCTATCTATCTACCTATCTATCTACCTACCTACATACCTATCTACCAACCTATCTATCTATCTATCGATCTATCTACCTACCTATGTATCTACCTACCTATCTACCTACCTATCTATCTACCTACCTACCTATCTACCTATCTACCTACCTACCTACCTACCTATCTACCAACCTATCTATCTATCTACCTACCTATCTATCTATCTACTTATCTACCTACCTACCTATCTATCTACCTACCTACCTACTAACCTATCTATCTACCTACCTACCTATCTATCTACCTATCTACCTACCTACCTATCTATCTATCGATCTATCTACCTACCTATGTATCTATCTACCTACCTATCTACCTACCTATCTATCTACCTACCTACCTACCTACTGATCTACCAACCTATCTACCTACCTATCTACCTACCTATGTATCTACCTACCTACCTATCTACCTACCTACCTATCTATCTACCTATCTATCTACCTATCTATCTACCTACCTACCTATCTACCAACCTATCTATCTACCTACCTATCTATCTACCTATCTATCTACCTACCTACCTATCTACCTACCTATCTACCTACCTATCTATCTACCTATCTATCTACCTACCTACATACCTATCTACCAACCTATCTATCTATCTATCGATCTATCTACCTACCTATGTATCTACCTACCTATCTACCTACCTATCTATCTACCTACCTACCTATCTACCTATCTACCTATCTACCTACCTACCTACCTATCTACCAACCTATCTATCTATCTACCTACCTATCTATCTATCTACTTATCTACCTACCTACCTATCTATCTACCTACCTACCTACTAACCTATCTATCTACCTACCTACCTATCTATCTACCTATCTACCTACCTATCTATCTATCGATCTATCTACCTACCTATGTATCTATCTACCTACCTATCTACCTACCTATCTATCTACCTACCTACCTACCTACTGATCTACCAACCTATCTACCTACCTATCTACCTACCTATGTATCTACCTACCTACCTATCTACCTACCTACCTATCTATCCATCTATCTATCTACCTACCTATGTATCTATCTACCTACCTACCTATCTATCTACCTACCTACCTACCTACCTACCTACCTATCTACTTATCTATCTATCTATCTATCTACCTACCTATCTACTTATCTATCTACCTACCTATCTACCTATCTATCTATCTACCTACCTACCTATCTACATACCTATCTATCTACCTACCTACCTATCTACCTACCTATCTACCTACCTACCTATCTACCTACCTATCTACCTACCTACCTATCTACCTATCTATCATCTATCTACCTACCTATCTACCTACCTACCTATTTACCTACCTATCTACCTACCTATCTACCTACCTACCTACCTATCTATATATCTATCTGCTCCAACTTCCGTAGAGTGGCCCTTATTTCTCATGCCAGGAAGGTAATGCTCAAGATCCTGCAAGGAAGAAGACTCCAGCAATACATGGAGCGAGAGTTGCCAGATGTTCAGGCTGGGTTCAGAAAAGGCAGAGGAACCAGAGACCAGATTGCCAATATCCGGAGGCTGGATCATGGAGAAAGGCAGGGAGTTTCAGAAAAACATCTATTTCTGCTTCATTGACTCTTCTAAAGCCTTTGACTGTGTGGATCATAATAAACTGTGGCAAGTCCTTGGTGGGATGGGCATCCCAAGCCCCCTTCCCTCTCTCCTGAGGAATCTGACCAAGGACCAAGGAGCAACAGTCAGAACTGACCACGGAACAACAGACTGGTTCAAGATTGGGAAAGGCGTACGGCAAGGCTGCATCCTCTCACCCAACCTTTTTAACTTGTATGCAGAACACATCATGCGAGGATGTGCGGGGCTTGAGGAATGCAAAGCTGGGGTGAAAATGCTGGAAGAAACATTAACAACCTCAGATATGCAGATGACACCACTCTGATGGCCGAAAGCGAGGAGGAGCTGAGGAGCCTTCTAATCAAGGTGAAAGAAGAAAGCGCAAAAGCTGGGTTGCAGCTAAACATAAAAAACCAAGATTATGGCAACAAGAATGATTGACAACTGGGAAATAGAGGGAGAAAATGTGGAGGACGTGACAGACTTTGTATTTCTAGGTGCAAAGATGACTGCAGATGCAGACTGTGGCCAGGAAATCAGAAGACGCTTCCTTCTTGGGAGGAGAGCAATGTCCAGTCTCGATAAAATAGTCAAGAGTAGAGACATCAGACTGGCAACAAAGATCCATTGCCTAGTCCAAGCCATGGTCTTCCCTGTAGTAGTCACCTACGGATGTGAGAGCTGGACCTTAGGGAAGGCTGAGCCAAGGAAGAGAGATGCTTTTGAGCTGTGGTGTTGGAGGAAAGTGCTGAGAGTGCCTTGGACTGCGAGAAGATCCAACCAGTCCATCCTCCAGGAAATAAAGCCCGACTGCTCATTGGAGGGAAGGAGACTAGAGACAAAGTGGAAGTCCTTTGGCCACATCATGAGGAGACAGGAAAGCCTAGAGAAGACAATGATGCTGGGGAAAGTGGAAGGCAAAAGGAAGAGGGGCCGACCAAGGGCAAGATGGATGGATGGCATCCTTGAAGTGACTGGACTGACCTTGAAGGAGCTGGGGGTGGTGACGGCCGACAGGGAGCTCTGGCGTGGGCTGGTCCATGAGGTCACGAAGAGTCGGAGACGACTGAACGAATGAACAACAACATCTATCTATCTATCCATCCATCCATCCATCCATCCATCCATCCATCCATCCATCTATCTATCTATCTATCTATCTATCTATCTATCTACCTATCTATCTCTTCTCTAACCATCACTCAAAAAATTATGATTTTGTCCTTTGGGAGTTGTAGTTGCTGGGATTTATAGTTCACCTTCAATCAAACAGCATTCTGAACAATGGAATTGAACCAAACTTTGCAGACAGAACTCCCATGATCAACACTAGTAGGGTTTAGTAGGCATTGACCTTGAGTTTGGGAGTTGTAGTTCACTTACATCCAGAGAGCACTGTGGACTGAAATAATGATGGATCTGGACCAAACTTGGCACAAATATTCCATATGCCCAGATAGGAACACAGATGGAGTTTGGGGGAAATAGACCTTGACATTTGGGAGTTGTAGTTACTGGGATTTATAGTTCACCTACAATCAAAGAGCATTCTGAACCCCACCAATGACAGAATTGGGGCAAACTTCCCACACAGAACCCCCATGACCAACAGAAAATACTTAAGCCCATCCAGTCCAACTCCCTTCACCAGGCAAGAAAACATAATCAAAGCCCTCCTGACAAAGAGCCATCCTGCCATAGATATAGATAGATATATATGATTCACACACACACAGATAAAGTATTATAGATTTGAAAGGGACTCCTAAAGAAGGACAATTCTATGTTGCATGTTCCAGAGTTGGCAAACCAGACAATCTCTACATCAACACTGGCAAAGAACAAGAAATACTATTTACCCACAAGCATAAAGACATTACATATATTAGAAACCAGCACTTTCTCATTACTTTATTTTCCAGATCACCAGACTGGGCCACAGCAACGCGTGGCAGGGGACCTCTA